TAGATGATAGATGATAGATACATGATAGATACAACCACTTATGGCTATACTTGAGATTCTGCAGGCATATCTGTAAGTTCTGCTTAAATATGTGGTGTAGTGGAGTCCAAAAAGCCAGAGTTGAGTCCCAGTTCTGCCCCTTACTAGCTGTGTGAACATGGGCAATTAATGCATGCCAAAGCTCTTAGGGAAGTGTCTGGCACAGAGTGAGCAATATATGAATGTTAAATAAATAAACTCGCATTACTGCTCTTTCTCCTTCCTCCATGATAAGACAGGGATAATACTTTTCTACCTTGCAGGGCAGTCAAGGAAGATGATGCAATGATAACTAACATTTAGGTTATGCATGTGAGAATGTTTATAAACTGTGAAGTCCCATGTAATTGACAGCTGCCATGTTTGCCATTTTCATTCTTAGAAGCCTCTTTCTTCTACCACAACCTCTTTTGCACCCTCACATATGCAAGCACATCTGCACTGAGCTTTGCTGCAGCCTCCAGGCCCCTAACAGGGCTTGGAGGAGACCAGGCTGTGTAGAGGCAGGACAAGGGGCTTGGCCCTTCTGTTTGGTCAGGCAAGCTGTGTTCTCTACTGGGCCTCCCCAGGGTCTGCTTCAAAGGCCACGTGTGTCTTTGCATATGATTTAACTATCCATTGCAAATGTCTGCTAGGACCCCGCCATCTGTTCCTTGGAAATTTTTAAGTCCAAATTGCATGACGGCTCCCCTGAAACGTGTTCTCTCTTGATTTGTCTCCTCTGTGTGTCTTTGCCTCTATCCTGTTCCTTTTATTTTAAATTACATTTATTGTTTTCCCCTCTTTAAAAAAGAGGTGACTTTGCCATTATAAAAGTGATACTGTACATGGTTTTTAGTAGAAAAAGTGAAAGTAATAGAAAGTAAAAAGATGAGAACAAAGTCCAGAGTCCCACCACCTAGAGACAACCACCATTAACATTTCGGTATATTTCCTTTGGCTTTTGTGTATGTGTGTGTGTGTGTGTGTGTGCACAGGTTTTGCTTGTTTCTATGTGGCTGAAATCCTAATTTATGAAAAATTTTATACTCCACTTTTCTCATGACATTGACATGTGTTTTTCACATTGGGAAAACTTACCTTAAACCTCATTTAAATGTCTATGTTACATCCCCAAGAATGCCAGGCACCATTTTATTTGTAGTAAGAAAATTCACATAGCATAAAGTTCACCTTTTAAATAATTTTAAAGTGTATGAATCAGTGGGATTTAGTACATTCATGATGGTGTATGGCCATCACCATTATCTAGTTATATAACACTTTTATCACCCTAAAAGGAAACCCTGTACCCATTAAGCACTCACTCCCCATTTCCCCCCTCCTTCTAGCCCTTAGCAACCATTAATTTGCTTTTTGCATCTTTGGATGTGTCTATTCTGGACATTTCATAAAAATGAAATCATACGACAATATGTGGCTTTTGGCATCTGGCTTCTTCCACTCAATATTTTCAAGGTTCATCCATGTTGTAGTATGTGTGAGTACTTCAATCCTTTCTATGGTTGCATAATATTCCATTGTATTTATATACCATAATTTGTTTGTTGATTCATCTGTTAATGGATATATTTGGGGTGTTTCTACCCCGTGGCTATTATGAACAGTGCTGCTATAAACATCTATGCCGTTCCTTTTGTTAGAACACATGTTTTAATTTCTTCTGGCTATATACCTAGCAGTGGGTCATATAGTAATTCTATGTTTAACTTATTGAGTAACAGCAAAACTGTTCTTCATAGTGGCTGCTCCATTTTACATTCCAGACAGCAATGTATGAGGGTTCCAGTTTCTCTGCCTCCTCTTCAACACGTTGTTTTCTGTTTTTTCTTCATTTGTAACCATCCCAGAGGGTGTGAGGAGGCAGAGAAATTATTCCCATATAGGTAATGTCATTTTTTCTTCAAATCTTGGGTTCAAGGCCCATGTCTCACCGAACATAATGGATGCCCTTAATCATAAAGCCAGAAACACACTGGAAAACTTATTTACTCAAGAATGATGGCCATTCAGCACTGACTACATGTGCTGGAGTACAGTGATAGAGTGAACTCATATTCATACCAGGTCCCTCACCTTAGCTAGCTTATATTCCAGAGAGACAGACAGTAAACAAGTAAAGAAAACAATTATAAATTGTTAAAAGTGCTAGATAATGGGAGGAGCAGGGAGGAGGAGAGTGGGAATATCTATATAAGATAAGCTAAAGAAGGCCTCTCTGAAGAAGAGCCATTTTAGCTTAGTCTAAGGAGATTTAAAAGAGCTAGGGGTAAGAGATGTGGAGAAAGAGTGATCCAGACATGGGTAATAGCATGTGCAAAGGCCTTGAGGTGAGACTGTGCTTGGCATGTTCAAGAAATAGGTACTACTCAGCCGTAAAAAAGAAGGAAATCTTACCTTTTGTGACAACATGAATGGACCTGGAGAGCATTGTACTAAGTGAAATAAGCCAGTCAGAGAAAGACAAGTCCCGTATGATTTCACTCATATGTGGAATCTAATGAACAAAATAAACTAACAAACAAAATAGAAACAGACTCATAGATAGAGAACAGACTGACAGCTATCTGAGGGGAGGGGCTTTGCAGGGCTGGGTGGAAAAGGTGAAGGGATTAAGAAAGAAAGAAAAAATAGCCTCAGACACAGACAACAGTATGGTGATTACTAGAGGGAAAGGGAGAGAGAAAGAAAGAGGGAAAGGTTGAAGAGTGTATAGGGGGGATAAATGGTGAGGGAAGGAGACTTGACTTAGTGTTGTGAACACACAATACAATATATGGATGATGTCATATAGAATTGTACACCTGAAACCTATGTAATTTTATTATCCAATGCCACCAAAAATTTCAATAAAAAAGAAATAGGAAGAAAGCCAATGTGTCTGGAGTAGAGTAAGAGAAGAAACATGTTAGGAAATTAGGCCCAAGAGGCAGTGAGAGACCAAATCATGCAGTGCTTATTAAGTCTTGTTAAAGAGTTTTGATTGTGTTCTAATTGTGATGGAAATGTATTGGCATGTTTTGAGTAAGAGTGACATGATCTGACTTGGTACATTAAAGGATCTCTCTGGCTGCTGTATTGAGAATAGGCTATCACAGAGCAACAGTGGAAGCAAGAAGAACACTAAGGAGGTTACTTTTGCTGTATTCCTTACCTCCTGCTCCATTCTGCAACTATTCAGTTCCTGACCTCAGTCTTCATCCCTTCTTTCTGGCTCTGCTCTCACCCCTTAGGCCTTGTAACAGATTTAGTTCCTTCTGTTTCACCCTTGGTATTATTCTTCCATGGACATGGTTTTGCTCCATACTCTGGCTCCCTCCAGTTAGAGCATGAGACATCCTCTGTTTGATCTAGACTTGGCCCTGTAAACCTCTTCTACAATGACCTTCACAGCTGAGAGGTTGGTGACTTGTCTGGAGCCTGTAGGGGACTGAACCTTAGTGATACCATTCTTTCAAGAATAGAATCTTTTTTCCCCCCTATAATAAAATGATAAGTTTCTCAGCAGTTGAAGGACAATTAGATCTAACTGATAACCTAAAAGAATCATTGCTTTGAATCATGGATTTGAGGCTTGGTCTGCAAAATCTTGTGACTGCTTTAAAGTGACCTCTGAATGTTAAAAGTCTGTACATCTATCATAATTTTTATTGACCAATGGCATTCCTTTAAAAAAAACATTCTAACCTATTCTTTTCAAGCTTTCCAAAATTCAATAGAAGGGAAGACTTCCAAGTTCATTTTACAAGGCCAGCATTATCCTAATTCCAAAACCAGATAAAGACACTACAAAGAAAGAAAATTATAGGCCAATATCCCTGATGAACATAGATGCAAGAATTCTCAACAAGCCCTGGATGATGTGACTCAGTTGGTTGGGTTTTGTCCTGTGCACAGAAAGTTTGCTGGTTCAATTCCTGGTCAGGGCACATGCCCAGGTTCCAGGCTTGATCCCCAGAAGGGGGCATGCAGGAGGAGGCTGTGGGCTCAATCCTGGATGGGAGACCTGCAGGAGGCAGCCAAATTGATCAACATTTCTCCCTGTCTCCCTCTCCCTCTCTCTCTCTCCCTCCTCCCCCTCTCCCTCCCCTTCACACTTCCTCTCTCACTAAAAAAAATGAAACCAATAAAAATATTTTTTTCAAATCTTCAACAAAATATTAGCAAACCAAACCCAGCAATACATTAAAAAGATCACACACCATGATCAAGTGGAATTTGTTGTTGGGATGCAAAGCTGGGTAAATAACTACAAATCAATTAATGTGCTGCACCACAAGCAAAATTGGAAAAAAAAAAATCATATCATATCAATAGATACAGAAAAAGGTTTTGACAAAATCCAGCATCCATTTATGATTAAAAAATACTCTTAGGAAAGTGAAAATAGAGGAAACATACCTCAACATAATAAAAACCATATATGACGAACCCACAGCTAACACCCCAGTCAATGGGGGAAAACTAAAAGCATTTCCCTTAAGACCAAGAACAAGACATAAAAGTCTTAGTCACAGCAATCAAACAATTTAAAAAGGCATCCAAATTGGAAGGGAAGAAGTAAAAATAATTATTTGCTGATGACATAATAACATATAAAGAGAATTGTAAAGGTTTCACTAAAAATCTACTGGGACTGATAAATTCAGTAAAGCAGCAGGATACAAAATAAACCTCTAGCAATCAGATGCATTTTTATACACGAATAACAGCTGTCAGAAAAGGAAACTAAGAAAACAATCCCATTTACAATTGCATTAAAAAAATACCTAGGAATAAATGTAATCAAGGAGATAAAAGACCTGTACTCTGAAAATTATAAGACACTGAAGAAAGTAGTGGAAGAAACCCTAGGCGGTTTGGCTAAATGGTTAGAGCGTCTACCCGTGGACTGAAGGGTATTTTCTGTAACCTGATGCACATGAGACATTGAAAGAGATAATAAGAATACATTTTCTTACCTGAAAGAAAGATAAAACTTGACATGAGAATCAATCCATAAAGCCTCTGATACATGATGTGTCCTTTCATTGTCTAAACCTGTGTTCAAAAAGTCAGAAATATGCCCAGCTCAGATTCAGAACAAACAATTTTTAGGTGTATGTGACCACACTTCACATTTCACTAAACACTTTTTCCTATTGCTTATAGTCATGTCAGCCTGGCTGAAATCTCACAGATTGATTTATTTGCATACCCATTCAACAAATTTTATTGAGTGCCTACTATATGGAAGACACTGTGTTGCACCCTGGGAATACATTAGGAAATTAGCCCAGAGGAGAGACAGACATTAAATGCATAATTACAAAATGTGGTTTATTCAACCTTAATGTACACAATTTCAACACAGCAACTCTGGTTTTAATGATCCTAAACATTTTGAAGGAAGCATTATGTAAGAAGACCTTACTGGTAAAAGTAATTTATGAAATCATTTCTATTTTTGAAGCAGATCTGTTTAGAGAAAACTGACCATCTCAATACATTCACCCAGCTTCTCTCCTTAAATAATTGTATTGGGAAACTCACTGCAAATCCACCTTTCTCCAACCCAAACAGTGTTAAAACTCCAAATCCTACAGAAACATATTACAGAACCTTGTCAGGAGGGTGCTGATGGGCACTTTTTGATTTTAAATAAAATACACTTCTGAATGATTTACTACTGATTTAAACATTTCTTTTCCTATGGGATAATACAACATACTGTATTTCTTTCTACTTCTAAGCGGGATATGGAGTGAATAGATTCACTTTATATTTAAAGTAACAGAAGCCAATTAGGAAACCAAATGAAACTTGGGCTTGCTATGAGCACCAGCCATGAATAAGGCTCTTCACATGTACCAAGTGTTCGACTGCCATTCTCATTAGAATAATAAGGAAATTTGTATGATTTGGATGGATTTTTTTAAACTACAAGCTTAGAAGTAAGAGGATGTCTGAATATTTTATGACTCGCAAGGTGAAATGCAACTTAAATTTACAGAGCTATAAGAGTACCAGATAGAGAATCCTTAACTAGCTGTGAGAATATATTTCAGTCCCTTCATTTCTCTGGACCTCAGTTTCCTTATCTGTAAAAATAGAGATAATAATCTGCCTATTTCCCAAAGCTTCTATAGAAGAGGATCAAATGATGTGATATTTGAAAGGCAATTTTCAAAGCATAAAGTCCTAAAGAAATGGATGTGATCACTATCTATAAAATGGAATTTTCAACAGCAAACAATCCAATTTACATTTTCTTTGCATTTCCTCAAAACTTTTATAACAATCCCAAGGTATGTTTCAGAAACTTATGTGGCACCCAATAAGAAATCATGGGACATTCACACTATAGAATATACTATGCAGCCATTAAAAGGAATAAGGTAAGTCTATATGTCTGTCAGGCATAAAAAGGTGGGTTGAGGAAGAGGGGTTGGAATGAGGATCTTTCATTTTATGTACCATGCAGTTCTGTACTGCTTGATTCTTTTAAAATTATCACACATTACCTATGTAATTTTTAAAATTGAAAGAAAAGAGAAAGGAAGGGAGGGCTAGTGAAAGAGAGTGAAGTCAGGAAGGAAGGTGATGAGAGAAGTAGAAAGGAAGAATGGGAATTAAATAGGTTTCCTTTATACCTAATACCATTCTGTACTGTTTGATTATTTATGATGAGCATGCATTACTTTTATAATTTTTTTAAAATGAAAAAAGGGAAGGAGGGAAAGAAGAGAAAGAAAAAGAGAAAGAATAGACATTAAGGACTTTTATATTATACTTCATACAATTATATGCAATTAGGTCCTTTTATGATGAATATTTGTTGCTTTTATAATTTTTTAAAAATTAAAGGAAGAAAGGAAAGATGGAGGCAAGGAAGAAGGAAGGATAGGAGGGAGGGAGGAAGAGAAGAAAGACACTCACCTGAGAACTGGACTCCTTTAACTTCCCACCCCCGTGTCACTGTGAAGTCCAGAGGAAGAGTTTGCTTTACAAATGAACAGATCTGGTCTCTAAATCCCTACGTTTGATGGGAATGGAACAGGAGTCTCATTATCTGCTGGCAATGCTTCAGTCACCTCCTTTTCTGGATCAAGCCAGCCTCTCTGCTCTTAGCTTTTATTGGACTTATTGACCAGGACAGATCCTCTTTTTGTGTCTCATAGCACGTCATGAGGCTGCTCTCCCAAGCATGAAATCAGCATAAGCAAAGTTCTCAAGTTATTACAAACTTGCAATAACCCATTAATTTGAGGTCTCTTTCCCAGTTTTCATTAAGGATCATCTTAATCTGATTATCACTTTAATTAAATGGGATGTATTGGTGGGGTACTTGCTCACTTAACTAAGGTTGGTTTCACTTTATTGAGAAAATGGGGAGAGGGGAGTGTTCAGAACTATGAGCACAAAATAGAGGCCAAAGAAGTATTAATATATTCACATCTCACACTGTCAGTAAAGTAAAGCCAGCTGTTTATATTCACTGTAGATCCATTCTTCAAATTGCCTTCAAAATAAATACATTTACCAAACTGGGGGTTGTCATTTTTGCCCCAGAAGGTGTCATTATAGCCCTTTTGGGAAGATGAAAATATCATCAAATCCCACCCAAGCATCCAGAGATGTTCCCCACCAGCCTCCTCATTTCCAGGACCCTGAGGTCGAGAGGGTAGAATGACTTGCTCAAGGTCATAGAGCTTATGAGAGGAAGAGCACGAGCTAGGACCGAGGGCTCCTGACTCCCAGACCAATACCTTTTCCTCTCCATCTCACACCTTAAATAGAAAAATTCAGTCTAATAAGAGGCTCAGTCTAACTATTATCTGTAAGCCAGTAGTTCTCCAGGTGGGAAGGGGAAGGAGGGTGGGGTATCAGAATCACCCATTACCCACTCCCAAGCCCAGAAACTGTTATCAGTGTGGTGGATGAGAGCCCAGGCTTTGCAGAAAGACAGGCAAGTTTAAACCTCAGTTGTGTGGTTTGGGGCCAGTTCCCCTAACACCTCTGGAGCTCCCAGTGCCCTCATTTGTAAAATGTAAATAAGGACACTTACTTCATATCACTGTGAAGATTACATGATACAGTGTGTGTAGAGTGCTTTAGCCCAATGTCTGGCACAGGGCTCCAGTGCCATTGCTCTTGCCCAGAATTCCACTGCTTCCCCTTTCAAATTATCACCAAGCTTATTGTTTATGGCCTGCTACCCACATGAGGTCACACAGCTTACAAGGGGATGTGGAGCAATTGCCAAGAATCATCTTGGCACTTCCCTAGCATTGGTTTATATTTCGCACCATGCCTACTCATTGATCGGTCCCCACCTCCCCGCTAACACTATGAGCTCCATTCAGAGGTTCACATACTGCCTGGCACACAGAGAGCACTCAATCAATATTTGATTAATGAATGGCTGTGCCTTTCTCCCCAACTAAAGTGTGTGCTTACTGAAGACAGAGAAACACATCTCTGTTCTCGTGCCATGCCCCAGGAGTTAGCACAACACCTGGAACACAGTAGGTGCTTAATGAATATTTGCTGAACTGAAAAAGAATATAGAGAATATATTTATATATGCTTACATACATTAAGAAAATCCTCTGGAAGGAGACCTTGGTGACAATAGCTCATTTTTTTTAAAGGAGACTGAGAGGTCTTGGATGGGGGAAAACCTTGCTTTTCTCTGCATATACTTTTGTATTGTTAGAATTGTAATTATCTGCATGTGTTGCTTTATCAAAGAAAAGCACTGTGTTTATTCTTTAAATCCAATGTACCAAGTGAAGTAATTTATTGGAAAATGAAATGTGCAGAAAAAGAAAGAGGTTGGAATGCTTTGGTCAGGAAGAAAATGCCACCTGAGGAGAGAGGGTTTCAATGGGTAGTTTCCATTCTCTGGACGATTATTCAGGGAATGTTGACCATCTGTTCTCCATATCTACAGAGTAATAGGAAATGGACTGAAATTAAAGTGGGAGATGCGAGTTAAACATAAATAAGTCATTATTGATGATAGCCTAATAAACACTCGAAAAGGCTATCACTGGATGTTATGAGCCTTCCATCCCTGGAAACTCAAAGGTCTTGATAGCCATATGGCTCTGCTGATTTATGTGTCCTCCCACAGAGAGAGAGAAGGCTGAGCTTGTTGAGGCTCTGTCCCCTTTTCTGACACTAGAAGAAACCCTTAATCTGGTGACATTCCAGGCTATCATTGTCCCCCCTTCCCTTTCCTGGCACCCCACCAGGCCAACTGGGAATCTTATGGTTTCCACACAACATGGCCCCCAACTTCAAACCCACTAATGAAGTCAGGGATCAACCATACAAACAGTGAAAGGATCTGGTGCTGGAGAAAAAATCATCTGTGTTGGTGACTTCTTAAGATATTTTCAAGGACAGTTTCTATTATATTTAATTGCCACCTTAAACACTACCATCCAACTGATTCCTTGCTGGTTGTCATTACCATGTATATCTTCATACTTTTGCTGCACATGTGGGCATCCCTTAACAATATTTTGTATAATAATACTATAAATTCTTAAACATAAAATAAATGTGTATACTTTTAAACATGATATAAAAAGTATTATCACACCACAAGAGAGGTGGCACAGCATAATAGTTAATAAAATATGCTCTAAATACGGTCTGGGTTCCCTCCTGTCCCATTGCCTTAGCTGTTTCATCTGCAAAATTGGGATGATGATGATTATGATGATAAAGGTATCCACCTATAGTGCTTTTATGGTATAAATAATATATGTAAAGCATTTAGAGCACTGCATGGTACATAATAAATTTATAAGTATTAACTATTAATAGCTATTCTTTTACAACTTGTTTGGTCAGGAACATTTGATAATTCTAAAATGCTAGGAATTCAGCAGTGAGCAAAACAGATAACTGTCTTCATAAAGTTTGTGTTTTGATGGGAGTAGATGAATAATAAACAAGGAAAATAAATAACACATATATTAGAAGGGGATAAATGTTATAGAGAAAAATGAAGTGGGAAAGGATTTTTGAAAGAGTGT